GAGACGAATAAACATACATACACAATAAATAAGGTGAACACTAAATTCAATAAAGAAAGTGAACACTAAAAACAAATACGTTAAGCTATTCGGATTTAATATGTGATGATATACCTGTCACTTACCCCAAACAGCAAACATCACATTGAAGTAGGATATGATTTACATATTTATCCCGGGGGAGAGGAAAGTCGGCTCAACCATAAGGCGAACCACACCTCTCGTCCGGTTACCAGTCCATGTCGGGTATGGCTTAGTTATTTGTTTTCGGAAGCATGGACTTGATGGTAGAGGAAGCCGTAACCACCCTACGACGGCGAGGAGTCCAGCAATCCTCTCGCACATAACTACCCCGCATGGGATTCAAACCTGCAAACCCACGCAAGGTAATCAGAGACGCCTAGCACGATGAGCCACACCGCTGCGCCGCGTATGTTAAAAAAATATTTTGGTCATAAATGCTTGAGTGTTATTGTAAATGATGTGAGAATTTAATGAATTTATTAGAAGTCTTTGTGATATATGTCGAACCATACACTTCTGAACAAAGCAAACATATGATGTGTGCTTTAGTAAAATACGTACAGGAATCTACATTTGAAACAAGCCATATTTCCATTAATGGAAAGTATTTCACAGCTGCAAGAAGTTTAAAAAGGTACACACAGACGTTTTATGCAATCCAAATAATTTATAGCCAAAAATTATTTCCGTCATGATACACAAGATTATAAGATCTTGTTATTTAAGCTTCCCACATTCATTCATTTAAGTTGTAAATTAAGACCACGTCTTGACATTTGAAAAGTGTTTCACAGCTTCAAGAAGTTCGAAATGGCATAAACTCAAATTGGAGAAAACCATATTCTTGTGACAGACAATCACCGATCCGACAACCGTCAAAACTTTCTCCACATATTTCACAAGAGTGTGTTTTTTTGCCAGTGTAGATAGACTCTTGATTCCGTTTCGAATTAGTTATATATTTGTGACCTAATTCGGGTATTAATATGAATACATACATAGGTTTTCAAAATATGTAGTTAGGTTTCCACAACAGCAAGAAGTATGAAATGGCACACACAAACGTAGTCTTATGAATCTTGTGAAAAAACGTATGGTTCATACCAGGGAAAAATCAAACATTTTTGAAACACATGGAAAGTGTTTTGTAGCTGAAATAAAAGTTGAATTGACTTATTCAAGGGAACACTGGAAAGAAGCCACATTTATGTAAAGCATTTAGGATATTGAGTATTCATGCTGGAGAAATTAACGTGCCAAGTATTTTGCGCAATTCGGTGAATGAAATAAAAATATCATATCATATGTAAAAAAGATGTATTCTCGTAAAATTTTGAAATCTCGTAAAATGTTTGAAAAGGGCCTTTTAAATTCAAGTTGCAAGTAATTTGAAAACGCTTTGATGAATTTTCACATAGTTCACATTAGTATGGTTTTACGCCAGTGTTACCTCTCAAATGCTGCGATAAGTTAGCCATAAGCTTTCATATGTTTTTACGTAACTTTTTCCACATCTCCAACAAGAGAATCGTTGTATTCAATGCTGCAAAACTAATTTCACAAAAATGTGGTTTTTCGCCAGTGTGATCGCTCCTATGGTGCTACCGAAAGTTGTAACATTATTGTGTGGGCTCTAATGTGCGACATAAAATTGATAAATGCTGCAAAAAATTATTTACATATTTCACAAGAATATGCTCTAGAGTTGATAGAAGGGAATTTTCAGGTAATTCGAGAAAATCTGTGTATTTGACCGGTGCTTCACAATGCAAGTACTTTAAATAGGCATATGAGTATTCATGCTGGAGATACTTGAGATACTTTGACAAAAATGAACTAAAAATTATTCCACATATTTCATAAAAGTATGTTTTTTTGACAGTATCAATCCCCAAGGTTCTTTATTAAAGTGATTGATGCTTCAAAACTCTTTTCACATATTTCACAACAGTGTTTGCCAATAAGGTATCAGTAATGCTGCTTTAGAATACATGCATGAATAGTGTTTTATGTTCTTTTTTTGCAAGTGGTGTTCTTGTTTGATTCTGCAAAACTCTTTCCACATATTTCACAAGAGTGTGGTTTTTGCAAGCGTGGATTCTCCTAAGCTACTTCAAGGAACCAAATGAAATAAAAACATCTTCACGTTTTTTATTGCACTATTGAATCGCAACTTCGACCTTTCCATGTTAAATTTGCTTTGCGAGCGTACCTACAAATGACCTATTATTTAGAATAAATAAGACATCAAGTCCGAAATGTACATTTTGTGAATGGAATGTTGAAACCGTGCTACATTTATTTTATTTCTGTGAATTTGTGCAACAATTTTGGGAAGTAGTTAATGCATGGCTAACTGTTGATTAAATCCTAATCTGACATATAGAGGAATTTTAATGGGGGCAGAGCAAAACCAAGGTATAAACTGTGTTTTATTGAGTGCAAGAAATTATATTTCTACGTAATGAATGGCCTCAGTTTGGCCAATTTTTATATATGATAAAAAGTGTTTATAACTGAAAGAATTATCGCAACCAGAAAATGTAAACTGTCGAACCACACAAGAAAGTGGAAAGTTATCATAAAAGGGTCACCATATTTGAAAAAGAAAAATTCCGGACTATGCATGACTATTTTCATGACCTCGTAGTAAAAATACGCGCAGGGTACAAAATAACATGTTCTGTATTAGCAGTACGCACAATACGATTGCAGATGCAGTAAAATTCCGGATTCCGGACGTTTAAGCACTTTTTAAATTCTTCCCGGTCGATTTACTGGTCGTACATAAGCGATACCACTCTCATGAGGATGTTTGTCTTTTTTCTGACGCTCTGTAATGCAAATATAAGCCCTGTTTAAAATTAGGCTTGATGTTTTTCGCACTTAGCTACTATGGATTAGAATTTACGTATTCATCCTGTGGCAAAGGAAAGAGATAAGACGGCCCAATCATATGGCGAACCGCGGCATATAAATACTATACACTTTGGTAGACGACGCCAGAGAATGAGAGAAATGTGGAATATATGTCAGCGGCTACCTTGCTATAGCTGCATGAATTAAAAAAATATGACGATCCTTGTTGCTGGGCTGCAGCATCACTTTTTATATTGTGGATAGTCATATTAGCCAGCAGGTTTGTTGTGTTGCACTTATCGAGGCATCATATCATTATCACTAGATGTCGCTAAATCGCCATCTGTACGAAATAAATCACGATAGTTCTTCCCATTCCTCTGGTTTCTATAGCTGTAGTAATCTGTTGTTCTCTTCATGAATGAGTATTTTAAGTTAATTTTTTAAAATATCCGAAATATCCGATTCTGAATCTCAAGAATACAAAGCTACCTTAATTCAAGCGTTTTTAAGCAAAAACAGCTCAGCCTCAAGATGGAAATGCGGAGCAATAATTCACCTTATTAATTTTTTAAATCAGGGAATTCCCCTGTATAATATTTTGATGCTTTGAGGTTCTGGTAGTTGTAGCTTGCTTTTTAGAGAATTCAGAGAGAGAATTGAACAATGGATATTGAGTTGGCATTTATAGTATGTATGCATGTATGTATAGTAGATGGATTAGTAGGATATTAAGGAAGTACCTCATACTCATGCTAGACTCCATGAATGTAAAAATATCAATAAACAAAATAAAAAAGTAGTAAAATTCAGAGTCATTCTGTTGATACACTGAAATAGTAAAACTATGATATGGGGGGAAGGCCATACACATACATGAAGAATATAACAAGAGAAAGTAATTGCGTAACGGTGTTTCAAATTTGGATATATCAATTCTATAATGCTAGGACTGTAGGAGGTAAAATATTCCAAATTTTATCTTCAATGTATCTCAGAGTTCTCTATGCCTGCTTCAATTTTACTGGGAACAAAATAAAAACCACTGATAATATCTTAATGTGCAACTCTGCCTTACAATTAAGTGCATTTTCATAATATTCATATCTTCTACAACAAACCTGCCTAAACCTGAAAAGTCTAAATATTAGGCGGATATACCACTTGGCCAATATATTGGTTGAGATTGTGTTTTGTACTTTTGCTGCTAAAACTTCAACCTAACGAAGCAAACTCATTTACTCTTAATATGACGAGAGTGAAGTTGAATAAAAAGTTATTAATCTACAGTGATTTGAGCGGTTGATACAGTTATTGTGATCTGTGGCATTTGCTAGTGGTTACATGATTTATGTTGCATGTAATATTTATAGCTATAGTTCATAATAATTGGTCATTCCAAGTATATATGTCTGAAATGGAGGACCAACTAAAAGTAGGCAATTGAAAATTAGGCACTTTGGAAATTGAGCGTAATAAATTTTAAAAAAATAATGAATTGTTAAATATAATCAAATTAAATGTTGAACATGCAAGGTGCAACAAGTAAATCCTACAAGGCGGTTTACAAGAAGAAGGCATTGTCAGAAGTAGATGCACTCACTTGATCAAAAGATACGCTAGGCCCTTCGGAAAACATAGAAAATGGAAATTACATTTTCATTATAATTATTTCATTATCTTTTTAAAAGTTATTACACCCATTTTCTGTTTTGTTCTAAGTGTCTAAAGAGTGCCTAATTCTCAAGTGCGTTTCCAGATATGGAGGTTGTAGTATCTATTTCAGTATTCATAACTGTTCATAACTCTTGATCCATCATGACAAACCACAATTATTATTTGATGAAATATATTTTATCTATACTAGAAGATGTGAAATATTTTATTCACTGTTTTTGTACTTACCTATCAGCATTAACTATCGGCCTTCTGAAGATAATATTCAGTTGTAAATGAGCAATAATTTAGTTTAACCCTGAATTTGAAAGCATGACTTCATGAAAAGGGCACATTCCTACTCGTAATTAGCTGAGTCAGTTAAATCAGTCCCAAAGTTGAGCAATGACACTTTCTGCTAGGACAGATTTGTAATGAATTTATTCATTTATTGCAGTTTGATGATCTTTTTGTAAAGTTATCTAACTTTCCTAATATTTATGCACTGAACTGCTGAAACCCAAAAAGCTGCCCTAAAATACTTACCATTGCATCGCCTGCTCAACCAACAACATGGAAAGAAATGAAGATGTCGAAGCATCAGGTGTGTTCATATCAGTCTATGCTAATAATATCTTTAAAGTTTTGGCTCGGTATATATGTGTCCATTGATATATAATCCATGAATCTGGAAATTTTTTGAAATTGCAGCGGGGAATTTATCGACAACATATATTGTTTTGGCTCTCACAGATGTATTGAATGAAGTAAAAATACTTGAAAAATTCCATATTTAAAATACAACAAACTGGTTAAGAAATATTGGGAACTGACTTCATAATAAAATTGGCGCTCCCGAAGTATGTGCACCAAGATGGCGCACAAAACCCTAACCTGGTACACATACTATGTTCAGGTTGTGCGCCATCTTGGTGCACATACTTCGGGAGCTTCCAAAATTGATATCGTAAAGGGACTTTATGGACACCCTGTATAACAATATGTCAGAACCTACAATTTTTGGGGAAATTAATATCTGTTTGACATTGTCTACCCATTTTATCACACTCTGATCATGGGATTTGAACATGATTTGGGCAACACATTTAAATCTCACGCCCAAATCGCTAGAGGTATATTGTTCACTAAGGAGTTTCAGTTCATTTCTATCGATTTTAATCAGTAAGTATGTTGATAGGTATTTGTCTGTTTGTCTGTCTGTTAGATGCACGCGATATCTCACGAAAGCGAGATTGAATCTGCTCCAGTTTTTGCATATGCATCATATGTCGGACCAGAAGCCTATTGATTTTCGATGAATTATGTCGTATAATTAGCGAGTTATTAATTAATTAGTGATGGGACACAAGGTGTCACTATGAAGTAAGAACACTGTTTTGGGAGATCCCCTAACTTTCGATCGATAAGTCTTCAGTCTCTGACCGATATTCTCGTTTGTTGTATTATTCATAAAAGTGCATCGAACTATGCTAAAGTTAGCTATTAGTTCTTTTATTAAATGACATGCTGTTTAATATTTTGAATCAAAGCTAGCGCCAGTGTCAACTTGTGAAAACTATCTCAATATATGCCGTAAAAATAGCATTTAATATCTGTTTATAGTTGTGTTTTCGGAAATTAGGTATGTAGCAAATAACTCAATGGACATCTAGGATTCCAAACAGTTTTAGTTTAGTTGCACTAATCGAAAAGATGCAACAACCCTAGGCCTAATCAACCATCAATATTTTCAATGGCAGCTAGTTGAATGTTTTGAACAAAGTGACGGTTGTGAACATATAAACTGGCTTGTAAGTGTGATCTTGTGACATCACTCTCAAAAATGTTTTAATGATAAAGTACCATTATGAAAAAATTGTTCTGGGATCAAGGGCTGTGAAAAATTTCGAAATTCAAATTTGTTGATACTTTTTGGAATATTTTCCCAAGAATTATATATATTGACAATCAATGCTTTTTTTAGTAAGTTTACAAATTTTGTCATGAATTCAAAATTTAGGGTAAATTTCTTTTTTGTTGCCTTTTAATTGGTCAATTTAGAATGGTAGTCCTCAACCAGTAGAGCGTGTCCCTAAAGGAGGTGTAGACAATTTTTAGAGAAGGGTTGAAGCTAATTAAAGATAAAATGTTTGTTAGATTTGATCTTAGCCTAATTTTGGATATTCACATTCTATCCACATATTTTCAACACATTTCTTAATAATACACGCTTTCGCCTTACTATCTGTTAATTGTAACTTATTGCTAGCTAGTTGTTTTTTCAGGCGCAAGACTTGGCAAATACTAAAAAGGGGAGAACCACTGATTTAATTTCTTGTGAAATTTAATTATTTGTCATTTACATTTTGTCTTATACTGCATGTAATATTAAATTTAGTAAAGTCAGTTCATTATTTTTTAAGAGTGATTTTTATACTTCATGCTGAAGAGCACGGAGTAGAAATTTCGCGAACCATTGATCTAGATTAATTTCAGTTTGTCTTGCATATAATGTTCATATTTTATTGACTGGAATATTTTCAAGGTTTTCTTCATAACTTTTAGTATTCCATAAGTTGATTTAAAAATGCATGAATATTTTGATCAGAGCTCGAAATGAATATATTGTCACTTTCTTATTATTGCTCTCTAGTGCGCTTGTCTTGATGTATACTGCTAAAACTAGAGAAGTTTATTTATCAATAAGAAGTATAGTCAGATTTACCAGGGTTTTTAGTTCCATCTTGTATTCCAGGATCATCTTGTATTTCAGGATTGAGAATACGCAAAGTAAATGTCAAAGTTTTATAGCATACCCTCTGCTCTAACTCTGTCAAATGAATCTATAATTTCTGGCCTTTAATTAACGGATTACTTCGATGATAGTTAAAACTAAATGACTGCTAGAACCTAAAACTATATTAGACATAACCTCGATGGTTTTCTCACTAGTTTTGCATACAGGAGCAACTTGCTATAGTTTGAATATATTTATCAAATTTTGTAAATCTGACTAAACTTTTGAAATTTATGTTGTTCAAATGTCAATTCATTCATGAAAAATTCATGAATATGTTTTCAAGATTTATTCTCAAGCATGTTCAATATTTATGCTAAATGGGATAAATCTGTCTTCTAAAATTTGTTGTTTGTTCAATAATATTACGAATTAAGTATAATGAATTGATTGTATTTTAAAACATTTAGATTAAATTATATTTATTCTCTGTAATAATTAGGGGCTAGGTGATTTAGATTGAGAAATACTTAAATCTAATAGTGTCTTCTAACAGGATTGAATCATAGATGGGCCAAACTTGATAATAACGATGTTATTTATGCATTAGTTTCAAACTCTATTCCAGTAAATTCAAAAGTGAGGGTGTTATCTACACACCAATTGTGAGCGAATCTGTTTACAAGCAAGTACACGACATGTGGATGAATATCTGTTACAGGAAAGTCAATAACCTCAATAATTCAGAATATTGAAAAGTTGGGTATCTTGATTAGTTGATTAATAAGCGAAGCCTAGTTTAGTGTGAGTGTGTGATGAACACTTCATAATTTCCGATAAATGCTTGTATTAGTATAGAGACTTTTTCAAAGTAAATGTCTGAATAAACACTTCCCTATTAGTTGCTTGTGCGTATACTGTAGCTGCGATACAGAGTCTTGTTCAGAGCATAAGCAATGCAGTTTTTGGTAAAACCTTTGTTCATAAATGTCTCAGGAACGGTAAAACTGATTGACTCGTGCAAACTTGATAGACCTGAGGACTAACCTCATATATACTCATTCATTCAAATATGGTTTTTGAACTTGGAAGTGCAAATAATATTTGAAATTACCCATATTATAAAATCTGCTAGCTTGTTCTAAAAATGACTTTACATTTGCTTTGGGGGTCAATGTAGATTTTAGAAACCTTGTTAAATGGGTTATGTTGGTTCATCCTAAGAACATAATGTTTCAAGGTCGTTAATTTGGCCTTTATCTGTGAGTTTTGCTGTTGCTTTCAATATCAATGATACTTATGACTAGTTGCTTGCATAGAGCCTAGTCAGGAGAGAAGGCATTAAAAGCAACAATTCAATAATACAGATTAGTTCCTTGTGCAAAACCTAGTTCAACGTGAATAACAAAGGATTTGAGATATCTGAAACTTTCCGATATCTTGGGTATTTCTTCAGTTGTTGAGGGACAGATATTCATGTAGATCTTTTATTACAGACTACACATATACAAATATACCAACTGTTAATATTTTTATTGATTGCAAGCAAACTCAACTGTGATCCATTTTAACTGATGACCTCAATACTAGATTGTTTTGGGTCAGTGAAACCAGATTTGTGTTTACTTTGTCACTTCATTCCTTGATATTGTAATTATGAAACAATATCAAATAATGTTGCAGGGCGAGACAAAAATTAAACTTAAATAAAATACTAGTCTGAGAGGGGCTCGTAATTGCAAAAAAGCCCAAATAATTAATTGCATATTCATAAAATTATTATTCACCCTAGTCCTAAAAAAATCATAGATGCAGTATCTCCTGGAAGACCACTTAAATATGGTTCAGTATCAACAGACTTTGCTTTGCATATGCTTGCAAGGGGTCATTGTATAATACATATGTTTAGAATGTGACCTCTGAATGACACCCACCTAAATGCTCCATATTCTTCAACTAAAAAGCTGCCTCTCAACTTGAGAAGGACCACATCATTAAATACATTCATCATTTTTAAAGCTGTCACAGCTACAAAAATTTCGCTTCGACTGTCAAGTTTCTTACAAAATATAAATCCAACACAACTTACGGTGAAACATTCAACACTCATGGTTAACTTAAAAAGCAAGTGCCAACAGATAAGATGTCATGATGGTTTGAGTTTTCGGTCAAAGTTTCTAAATATTGATGGGTGCTTGTACACTGCCTTAGATTCAAAGTATGAAAAGGGTTGATAAAAAAATATGAAAGTATGCTCAGTATGGAATCAGCAGGAGTAATATTGAATGGTATTTTTTACACATTATTTAACATGAGGATTTCAAACTCATTTCAAATTTATATTTGTGCTAGTGTGTGTGTAGTAATTATCTCAAATCATATAAAAATAGTCATCAATATTCTTTCCAGAGCATCCTTGAATTCTATATTTATCTGGGTGGGTTTGACGTTGGTTAGACAACACATTAAAGAAATATTTTTGTGTTTGCGTACAGTCATACTCATGAATTATTGTGTTCGGAAAGAAATATCAAGGAATAATTACTTAATAGAATATATGTTTATTGAACACGTAGTGGACCTATGGATCGTTTTGTTATTATGTGGTTGTTGTTCTAATTGTTGTTCTTTGACACAGAATTTCATCGCTATTATAAAGTCACTTTTCTCTTTGATTACTGGACTAATAGCTTTGAATTTTTCAAGGGATTAAAGAAGGAATTTTTTTCCAAAATGCTATTACTTTTATTTATTTATTATGAATTCTATGAAATCTGATATTTCATCCGAAATTTCGCTTCATTTTTTTATTCACTTTTTTCTTTATCGTGTGATGACTGTCTGTCCATTTTGATTCTGCAAAACCT